CTTAGAGCTTTACCTTGTATACCTTTTGACAGATTACAGCTATATCCTCTTTTTAAGAATTATCTGGGGTTTTTACAATGTGTTTACAATGTGCTATGTTTATACTGCACTGAAGTCTTAGCTATTATGTCCTTATCATAAGTATGAATGTTTCCATACATTATGTATTTAGTGGGAAAATTTCTTTATGGTTGAGTATGCGTGTTTTCAACCTCCTTGATAATGAAAAGTTTTCACCAAACTAGATGTGTCAATTTACATTCTCAAATATAGTGTATGAGAGTTTTTACTTGCCATTGTCTTCATAAACACTTATTATTGCCAGATTTTATGCTATTTTTTGTTCATATGATTTTTTGGTTTAATTTACATTCATTAATTATGTGTGTTATTGACCATACCCTAAAATATTGAGAATTTGATATTTCTGATCTCTGAATTATTTGTTCACATTTCCCCCCATTTTTCTTCATTGTTGCTTTATAGGAAATACATGTGTATTAAAAAAAACAAAGATGTCTGAAAGTAATAACATATAAATATGATATATAGTAACCTATACAACATATATTCTTAGCTCTGATGCTTTGTTATCAAATTATTATTTTGAAACAAACTATGCTTGTTTTTCTCATAAATTTTGTGTATGGTGTCTTTGATAGAACAAAAAATCTTTTGATATAAATTATGTTCAAACATATTCATTTCCTTATTATTGTAGATATTTTATAATTTTATACAATTATCTTACTCATGATATATCACATATTTGATCTAAAAGTTTTACAGTTTTCTAATTTGCATTAGAGTTTAATTAATCTCTGTGTTTTTTATTTTTATTTTTATTTTTGGAGACGGAGTTTTGCTCTTGTCTCCCAGGCTGGGTGCAATGGCGTGATCTGGGCTCACTGCAACCTCCACCTCCTGCATTCAAGTGATTCTGCTGCCTCTGCCTCACCCTGAGTAACTGGGATTAAAGGTGCCCACCACCACACTCTGCTAATTTTTGTATTTTTAATGGAGATGGGCTTTCATCATGTTGGCCAGGCTGGTCTTGAACTCCTGACATCAGGTGATCTGCCCGTGTCAGCCTCCTAAAGTGCTGGGATTACAGGTGTGAGCCACCATGTCCAGTCCTATATTTTATTTTACATATAGACATTTCAGATACAATTTGCTATTTTTCACTTCAGGTTATCCAATTAACCTAGCATCATCTATTAATTAGTTTACTACTCTATTTCATGCTCAATTCATGTATTTGCCTATTATTTTTCCAATAACAATTATAGCAATTATAGCACTAGAGCCAAATTTGACATTGAGGAATATTTATAATTCTTTGCAAGTTTCTTAGTTCTGTTTTTAAATGACCTTTTTGAGTTGAATATCAATTTTAACATCATCTAGTCAAGTTTTAGTTCTTTTTCTCCAGAATTAGATTGTTTTTATAGTCTGGTTAGCAGGAATCACCATTTTAATGTTCCCATAAATGAATAAGGTACTTCAATTCACTTTTCTAAAAACTCAATCCTTCAGGACATAGGCATAGGCAAGGACTTCATGACTAAAACACCAAAAGCATTGGCAACATAATCCAAAATAGACAAATGGGAGCTAATTAAACTCCAGAGCTTCTGCACAGCAAAAGAAACAATCATTAAAGTTAACCGGCAACCAACAGAATGGGAAAATATTTTTGCAATCTACCCATCTGACAAAGGGCTAATATCCAGAATCTACAAAGAACTAAAACATTTATGAGAAAAAAACAAACCCATTCAAAAGTGGGCAAAGGATATGAACAGACACTTTTCAAAAGAAGACATACATGAGGCCAACAAACATGAAAAAATGCTCATCATCACTGATTATTAGAGAAATGCAAAACAAAACTACATTGAGATACCATCTCACACCAGTTAGAATGGTGATCATTAAAAAATCTGGAGACAACAGATGCTGGAGGGGATGTGGAGAAATAGGAACACTTTTACACTACTGGTGGGAGTGTAAATTAGTTCAACCATTGTGGAAGACAGTGTGGCAATTCCTCAAGGATCTAGAAATAGAAATTCCATTTGACCCAGCAATCCCATTACTGGGTCAAATGGAATTTATAATCCTTTGGTATATATCCAAAGGATTATAAATCGTTCTATTATAAAGACACATGCACATGTATGTTCATTGCGGCACTGTTTACAATAGCAAAGACCTGGAACCAACCCAAATGCCCATCAATGATAGACTGGACAGGGAAAATGTGGCACATATACACTATGGAATACTATGCAGCCATCTAAAAGGATGAGTTTGTGTCCTTTGTAGGGACGTGGATGAACCTGGAAACTATCATTCTCAACAAACTGACACAAGAACAGAAAATCAAACACCGAATGTTCTTACTCACAGGCAGGTGTTGAACAATGAGAACACATGGACACAGGGAAGGGAGCACCACACACTGGGGTCTTTTGGGGTGGACTAGGAGAAGGACAGCCGGGGTAGGGAGCTGGGGAGGGATAACATGGGGAGAAATGCCAGATATAGGTGATGGGGATGGAGGCAGCAAACCACATTGCCATGTAAGTACCTATGCAACAATCCTCCATGTTCTTCACATGTACCCCAGACCCTAAAGTGCAAAAAATATTTTTAAAAAAACCTCAATCCTATGTTTCTTAAACTCGATTCTAAAATGCCTTATTAATTTCTTTTTATCTTCATGTATTTTTCAGTTTTCTTCCCAGGCATCTTATGTAATTTATTGATGCATTAATGCAATTTATTTAGAAAGTATTTTAATTAATTGTTGCTAACAAATGAAGACAATTTTTTAATAAAACAAATAGTCCTAACTTTATTTTATTAGCCTTGATTATCATTTGTACATCTTAAGAAAAGGGATATTCATAAAGCCTTTGAATGACAATTTGTTTCTTCCCTTCTGGTTTCATAGGCAGTTTTGTGGTAGAACGGGGGCGGAATTTTGTAGATATTCTAACTTATTTGCTTAGCATTGTTTCTGGCAGCCTCTTTTTATTTCTTTCTTTAAGCAAATTTCTTCACTTTAAAATATAGATTTCACAGTTCTTTCAGTAACAGTTACTTGTCTATTGGAAGAAAAATTTCTAAGTAGCTGTGTACCTGAATATTACCTTTAATCTGTCCTACCTCATGAAAGAAAATTAGTGAGCAGATGATGGAGAGTCTTCAGTAATTAGCCATTCTTTCTAAATGAATTGATAGTATTCTCCTGGCATTTGTTTGGTTGTTTGCTCGTGAGATGTATGTTGAATCTGCTTTGAACGCTGCTGTTTAACTTTTGAAGGCCATTCATCTTGTCTTATTGTTTACTTACAAGATTTTTTTTTCTTTACCTGTTCTTTTGCCTTTTCCCTGAGAATTCCATTTATTTATCCAGTTTAGGCATTTGGCATATTTCCTCAGCTTGATGATCATTCCGTTTATCAAGTTTGAAAATATTCACCCTTTTTTTCTCCTTGAATGTTGTCTCTCTCTTCTTAATTTTTCACAGGATCCATTAAATACATGTCAGAGCTTCTCATTCTTTTCCCCATTTCTCTTGTGTTTCTCTCCTTTTCATTTATTTATTTATTTATTGAGATGGAATCTCACTTTGTCACCAGGCTAGAGCGCAGTGGTGCAATTTCAGCTCACTGCAACCTTCGTCTGCCAGGTTAAAGCGATTCTCCTTCCTCAGCCTCCCGAGTAACAGGTGCCTGCCAACACGACCATCTAAGTTGTGTATTTTTAGTAGAGTCAAAGTTTCACCATGTTAGCCAGGATTGTCTCCATCTTTTGACCTCCTGAGCCAGCCACCTCAGCCTCCCAAAGTGTTGGGATTACAGGAGTGAGCCACCACACCCAGCCCATAGCTTTATTTCTTTATGCAACCTTCTGAGTAATGTTTTTTTTTGTTGTTGTTCTTATATTTATTGTTCACTCTATTTTTGTTGCAAGTAATTTTTGTATCATAGCTATGAATTGTTTTTAGTTTATTTGTTCTTCTGATTAAACTCTCATGCCCTAGGAGTTCAGGAGGGACTTTCAATGTAATATTTCTGGTTTTTTTGTTTTTGTTTGAGATGGAGTCTCTGTCTGTCACCCAGGCTGAAGTGCAGTGGCACGATCTGTGCTAACCACAACCCCTGCCTTTTGGGTTGAAAAATTCTCCTGCTTCAGCCTCCCAATAAGCTGGGATTACATGTGCCCACCAACACGCCTGGATAGTTTTGTATTTTTTTTTTTACTAGAGACAGGGTTTCACCATGTCAGCCAGGCTGGTCTCAAATCCGTGACCTCAGGTGATCTGCCCATCTCGGCCTCCCAAAGTACTGGGATTACAGGTGCGAGACACCACACCTGGCCTCAATGTAATATTTCTTTCCCCCTCTTACAATTAAATATTTATCCTTTTCCCAAAGCCAGATATACAGATATACAAATACACATGCCACATTTAAACATTTATTTCAATGGGATTCACTTTCTGAAATTCTGCTTTCCATTTGCTATTCATCATTTAGAGCAGTGAAAAGTCAACTACCTTCCTCTCTTATTTTACCTGCACTGTGCCTTTAGGAAAAGTATGAAAATATCCCATGAGGGAAAAAATATCCTTATCTCGAGTTTCCTCAATTAACTTCAGGCTAAAGTCTCTGTTTAGAGCAAGTGACATTGCAGTTTGTCCCAGGATTAAATATTTGCCAACTCAATCAAGTATCTATATTGTTCTATAATGTGGAGTTATTCCTAGATAGATATAATGCTAAAATTTCTCTAAATCTTGAGTTTCTAAGGGCAGGTTTTATATAATATAATTCATATTGAGTATTCTTATGTCATAGATAAAGGTAAGTATGTGGTGTCCTCAGTAAGATATCCCAACGTTTTTAATAAAATGAGATTTACAACAATGAGGATAAATATATTTTTATTATTTTTTTAAAGATTTTAGAAGCATAAGAACATTTAGCTTTGTGCAGTGGCAGTATCGTAGCCAAGGAGGTTTATCCATGGCGTGATTATTGCTAATTGAAAACTTTTCCCAGTACTCCACCGTGACCACTTGAAATATAGTTGGCATTGGCAATTTTTGACAGTCTCTACAGAGACTGAATTATAAAATTAAAAAAAAAAACTTTTATCTGGCAGAGAAGCTCTGAAAAAGAAATGACGGTGTTCCAAGAATGTAACTTACTGTCCATAATGAGATTTTTTATTGTTAAGTATAATTGGTCATCTCATATCCTGATTTGAGAAAACATCTTTTTTTACTGATATTAAATGTACTCTGGGGAAGGGGTTAGAGTGTAAATCATCAAGATCTGGGACATTTAAGTTTTTTGCAATTTCTATTCTTATCTAGAAGCATGTCTTTGAGTCAAATTTAAACTCACACACACACACACAATCTTAAATATATTTGCTTTATTTTTAGTCTGTGGGATAGATATGCAATGAGGTTGTGTTTAGATTTGAATCCCAGAATTTGCATTGAAAAACAACATGTTTTGCACCTGCATGCTTCCCTAGAGTAATTTAACGTTACAACTTCTGACAAGATAATTCCATATTCACTGTAGTCGACTTTGCAGTAAGCTGTAGAGAGAAAATAAATGTGAACCTACATTGGGTAGGAAAAATGTATTTAACTGAACAGAACTTAGCACATAAGCTACAAAACTCAAAACTGGAAAAGAATGGCAAAAGGAGATACAGAATCCAAGTCACAATTTTGTCTTTCTCTCCTTTTGAAAGACCTGTGTGTGTGTAGCACAGCATGTCTGCATCCTGCACCCGTGGCTTAGCATTCTGCACATAAAGTAACTTTGCTGTTGGAGGAATATTCTGCAGCGGCACACCAGCATTTTAGGACAAAAAAAAAAGGAAGGCGCAATCTTTTCTAGGAGCATTTAGAACGAGTGAAAAAAAAATAACATTTCTTGCTTCAAGCTAGCTGAGAGATATAGGTTAAACTTTAGCTGTTGAAGTCCTGAAAGTAGATTTATAGGCAGGCACATGGACTCACTCTTCTACCCATACTCCTTTTCACCATTTGGGATCCATTCTGTTTATCTGTTACGTATTTTTAGAAAAATTTCAATGCAATCCCCAGCCCATGTACAAAAGTGTCAGTCTGAAATCCTTCTCAGAATTGAACTCACATTTGGTTTCTCAACAGGAGATGAGGTTGGGTAACCTGGATGAGCAGTAGAATGATTTCTCTGCGGCTGTGGACTAACTTTTCTTTTCTACTTTTAGAGAGAAAAGTATGACTTGCCACATCTTGCTATTCCGCTTTGTGATTTTGCTTTAAAATACCCTTTTTGAAGGCAACGGTCATAAGTCAACAATTTTCAAATAAGTTTTAAATTTTCTTTAATTATTTTATAGTATACTAAGCCTTACATTTCTGAAAAAGAGACAAGTCAATTAAATAAGATTAACTAGATGTAAGAAAAATACTATCATCAAATAATCAAACAATATTCCATCCTCAATGTTCTTTGTTTCAAAGGTGTGCCAAAAAGCTGTGATTAAACTGGGTCAAATTCCGTGTTGTTTGAAGACTCATGAATGTACAGAATAGAAATTAATCTAATAACCTATGTTCAACCCCAGAGGAAAAAAGTTATCAAAGAGTAAACAGTCTGAGTACATTTCAGTCTCTCCCGAATTCAAAATTCTATGGCCCACTCTCCACCCTTGAAAGGGCAGACAATTTGTTGAGAAATGAAAACATTTTAGGGGTTTATATTTCAGTATGTAACTCTTCTTAGAATCGCAGAATCATAAGCTTTGATAAAATTCTTGTAATTATTTTATCCAAGTCAATCAAAGTTTGAGTGACGGTTGCTTCCTTACTCCCTGAGACAGTACTTCTCATTACAGGGCATTTCTTCTTATTAGAATACTTATATTTTAAGAGCCAAGAGTCATGTGAAAGACAATGGCAGAAACAATAAATGGGTTTGACAGACCAAGTGAGGTAGAGTTTGGAAGAACCTGAATCGATAATAAATTCTAACAACAAATAAAGAAAAAAAAAATAGAATTTTTTGCAAAACCAAAGGGGTGGTCAATAGAATAATGGGCCCCTTCTCTGACAATCCCTACCATGCCCTCAGGTTTCTGCCCAGATCTGCACAAACTGTGAATACTTTATGCTACGTGACAAATGAGAATTAAGGTTGTTTATCAGCTAACCTTACCTAGGAGAGTATCCTAGCTTAAATTTTCTGAGTGGGCTTTAAAAGTGAGAGAGGAAGGCAAGGAAAACAGAATGGGAGATATGAAGACAGGAGCAAGGACAGAGAGATGACGTGTGTGAGAGGCTGAAGCAGCATTGCTGATTCTGCGAATGGAGAAATGGGCCATCAGCCAGGCAGTGTGGCAGCCTGTGGAAGTTGGTAAACGCCAGAAACAAATTCTCCCCTAGAGCCTCCAGGAAGAAGCACAGCTCTACCAACACCTTGATTTCAGCCCAGTGGGACCAGAGACCACCATCTGACCTCTAGAACTACAAAATACTAAATTTGTGCTGCTTTCTTTTCAGTTTGATGTTTATAAGCCAATATAGCTTGATCTTCAAGATTCTGTACATCACTAAATGAATTAGATTTGCTTGATGTACCCATATCTACATCTGTCAAGTTAAACTGATGTCAAACCACTCTGGAGCAGTATTCATATTACAGACCAAAGAGCCTGTCACTAGCAGGGAAATGGGAATAGGGCACTAACCTACCTGGGCTTCACATGGTATTCATGTGTTTTTTTCCTTTGGAGTATTTCATACTGTTTTATGGATAACAGTAGTGTTCTTCATTGTTCCTATTGCATGAAACATCAATGCCTTTCAAAAACTGCTTCATTTTGATGGAATTCTTAAGGTACTATGATGTTACTTTAATTTTCTCTAATTATTGACTACCTTAGTAGCTTTTAGCCAGGAAATTTCCGGTAATTTCTTATAGCAAAAATGAACTAATACAAAAGAAGTATAAAACCAATCATGGTACAATATGACACATAGGACAATGATTAATGATGAATATAAAGAGAAAAAATTGTATTTGTCTCTTGCGACAGGGTCATTCCCTTTGGGATGGCTCAGGATCCATGACTTGCACTCACAGATATTAAAAAACGTCCAGTACCCTCACTTGGAAAATGGCAAAAATACCTACCTCACAGGGTTGTTGTGAGGATCCATTGAGACAATGTATGTTGAAAGCACTTTGTGAATTGTAAAGTGCTACATAAATTTTAGTTGTTGTTGCTGCTGTATCTCAGATGTCCTAACTTTTTTCCTTTAGAAAGGAAATATCTAACAAACCTCCAGGCTTTTCTGTTAAAGTATGTTGGTGGTAAACTGTTGAATAAACAATGTATTACGATATTTTAAAAATGAAAATGAACAGTTTTTAATTATCTAAGTTAATTTTTTTCCGGATTGATTACAGTACTATAATTTTTTTAGGGAGCAGATAGAGTTTTGCTCTTGTTTCCCAGGCTGGAGTAGAATGGTGCAATCTCGGCTCACGGCAACCTCCACCTCAAGCATTAAAGTGATTCTCCTGCCTCGGCCTCCCAAGTAGCTGGGATTACAGGTGCCTGCCACCATGCCCGGCTAATTTTTTGCATTTTAGTAGAGATGAGATGGGGTTTCTCCATGTTTGTCAGGCTGGTCTCGAACTCCCAACCTCAGGTGATCCATCTGCCTCGGCGTCCCAAAGTGCTGTGATTACAGGCGTGAGCCACTATGCCCCGCCAAATTATTATAATTATTATACAATTGATATACACTGATACAAATATTACCAATTTTAATAAATAGCTAAAATATGCTCCTATTATTCATGCTAATAATAAATAATAAAGCAAAAACAATAAAAGTAAAAAAAAAAAACCCAAAAAACCAAAACCAAAATAACTCCCAGTACCTTACTCGGTCCAGAATTGGACATGGTCAACGTGGTCTCTAAAATGTAAATGAGTCCAGGCTTGGTTATGGTGCAAGGGAAAAATGTATCATCACAGCCTGGCAAGGAAAGTTAACGTAGGAGATTGGAAGACAAGGTGGGCACACCAGTAGCCCTTTGAAAGACGAGGATGCAAACACACACTATGGAAAATGATGGCCTGGAAACAGAGGGTCATGTGCACTGCTTAAAGCAGTCTCACAAAAGGTGAATTAATAGAAATGTTATTTCCGGTGGAAATGTTTTGAGTGAAGTAGAAAGATGCACAAGCAACTATTAGAAGAACGAAAATGGATCTGAAGGACTTGCCACTGCGTGATGGACCACAGAGGGAAGGAGGCGGCTGGCTGCTGCTTTTCTACACGTGCTTTCCCAGAGGATTTAATAGAGAAAAATATGTTTGCATTCATTTTATTAAAAGTAAATATTTATTCATTAAACTTTATATCATAAAGTTCTGATTTATGCTTTTTGACAGTATTTTTTTTTGAACCAGAAAGTGAACAAGGATGGATTTGAGTCTCTCTGATAGCACTTACTATTAGTTTTAGCTTACATAAAGTATTATTTATTTTCCAAAAATCAGGACAAAAATAGGACTGGTGTAAATTACATATCAAGTATCATGTCCACATCATGGCCAAACAGTTAATGAAGGCAAAAGTCAAGTCACAATACTTTACTAATTCCGTCAAAATAAAGCTGCATTTGAAAGGTATAGATGCTTCATGTAATAGGAAAAATGAAGAACATTACTGTGATCCGTGATCTAGTATGAAGTACTCCAAAGGAGAGAACACATGAATGCCATGTGAACCCACATATGTTAATGCCCTGTTACCATTTGCCTTGCTAGCGACAGGCCTTTTGGTGTGTGATCATTATATGGAGACTGCTCCAAGGGGTTTGTCATTAGTTTAACATGACATGTATAGTTATAGGTATATGATGCAAATCTAACTTACCTAGTAATGTACATAATCTTGAACCATAGGTTAGATTTGCACATAAACTTACAGAACTGAAAAAAATAATATAACTTCAACTCTCCTTGGCCCTCGTACATATTGATGACTGGACAAAGTATTGATGTGAATGAATTCAACACACGATTCTATATTGTGGCA